GCAAGGTCCCTTCCAACTCTGTTATTCTATTCTGTTCTGTTCTGTTCTGTTCTGTTCTCTGCTCTCTTCTCCTCTCCTCTCCTCTCCTCCCCTCCCCTCCCCTCCCCTCCCCTCCTATCCTATCCTATCCTATTCTGCATTGTCTGTTACTAAGGGAGCAAAGATCCAGGCCAGAAAAACATGATATTTTTTTCATACTCATGGATCAGATGCAGAACAACTAGGGGTGACAAAGAACATTTTCCAAGAGCTGCCGTGAAGGAATCTTCCCAGGAGGCATCTAAACAGTTCTCACCTTAAAAAAAAAAGAGGACAAAACAAAAGCCATTTCATTTTATGGAGCTTAAAAAATTGATTTCTTGCACTTCTTTCATTTATTGTGTTTGATGCTATTTTACAACTTAGTGCTGAGTATCTTTGTTCGGCGTTATTTTGCCATTCTCTTTTCACCTATTAATAGAAATAAAACATTTATACAAATGGGGAGGGTGGAGAGCTGAAAAGAAGAGTACCCTTGTTATGTGTTAATTGTTCTGAGCCAGGAACAGACAGCAGAGAAGCTACGAATCTTCTTGTCCACGGGATTATTATTTTTTAAAGATAAAACTTTAAAACTCTTTTAATGAAAAGAGGCAACATTGTTGGCTAATGAGTCAACATGGTGGAAGACTTGAAGACTTGCAGAGGGTAGGGGTTAGATATTTCCCCCCTTTTAAGAAAATGCAATCAGAAATTTAGCATGCATCATTAAACATCAGTCCCATTGGGTGCAGTAGGATAAAAGCAGCCACATTTAAACCCTTTGTAAAATGCACACTCAGAAATGACCCTTTCCTTTCTAGGATGAGTAAGGTGAGAGCCGAATCATTTATTTTCCAGGTGTTTGTCCATTGGGAATATACGTGGGCATCCACTATGTTGGAAGATGTTGTACAGATGATCTGTTTCTCTTTTCCGATATTTATGCATTTGTCTGTTGGAAGAAATGTCCATCTGGGCTCAGTTCCAAGTGGGAAGAAAGACACTGGAAACATGGAGACTGCTTGAAAAGATGGTTTAATGGTGGACAGGACCACATGGTTTTGAGGTCCTGGGCAAAAAGGCACATGGGTGAGAGAGAGAGAGAGAGAGAGAGAGAGAGAGAGAGATTTATATCCTCTGTTGGGCTTTGAATGTGAGCTTGTATTCTTATTGGCTGTCAGACTCCCATGGGGCCATGAAGGGGTAACTTTGTAGGTTGTCTTGGTTGAGCCTTGCTGGGTGATGTGACGTAATGAAAGGGCTTTGGGCAATTCCTACTATGGCTCTGCCTGAAGGAGGTAGATCTTTGCTATGTAGAATAGGCCCAGGCCTTAATGGCCCATTGACAAAGGTGGGAAGGGGTGAGTTTCTGCCTCCCTTTTAGGGGAAATATTAGGACCTTTTAATATTTCCTAAAATATCTCATTTTCCTAGGAGAAGAGTGGGTCCTAACTTCCTACATGTCTAAATAATGTTCTTACACAACTTCTCTTGTGGGAAGTTGGCTTGTTACTTTGTAAGTGGAGAACTTGGTTGGTGTGTATAGTTTTATGATCGACTTGGGTTTCTAAATGACCATCACTGCCTCTACTGATGAGGATATCCAGGAAGGGTAGCATGGTGTTGTTTTCTTCTTCCCGTGTGAATTTTATTCCTTTGAAGCATAATAGCATGATACAAAATAGATGCTGAGACCCTAGAAAGAGTGCGGAGAAGAGTAGCAAACATTGTAAGGGGTCGGGATGGGTGGGTGGTAGATTGTATGATGATGAGCCGCAGTGGCGCAGTGGTTAGAGTGCAGTACTGCAGGCTACTTCTGCTGATCACCGGCTGCCGTTTGGCAGATCAAATCTCACCAGGCTCAAGGTTGACTCAGCCTTCCATCCTTCCGAGGTCGGTAAAATGAGGAGCCAGAATGTTGGGGGCAATATGCTGACTCTGTAAACTGCTTAGAGAAGGCTGTAAAGCACTGTGAAGCGGTATATAAGTCTAAGTGCTATTGCTATGAATGGTTAAGGGAATGAGGTATCTCTAGCCCAACAAAGAGAAAGCTTACGGGAGACTTGATAGTTGTTTTCCAATACTTGAAGGGCTTTTACAAGGAAGAAGCATGGATTTAATTTCCCTAGTGCTCAAGAGTAGGCCAAGAACCAATGGGTAGAAGCTCTGGAGAAGAAAATCCAGACTAGAAATGACAGGAACTCTCCAACAGACTTCTTCCCCCCCCTCTCTTTTTCTGACTCTCCCTCTCTCTCTCTCCTCTCCCTCTCTTTCGCTCTTTTTCTCTTTCTCTCTCCCGCTTTCCCCCTCTCTTTCTTTCTCTCTCTCCCTCTTTCCCCCTCTCTTTCCCTCTGGGCCTATTCTACATAGCAAAGATCTACCTCCTTCAGGCAGAGCCATAGTAGGAATTGCCCAAAGCCCTTTCATAACATCATCACCCAGCAAGACTCAATCAAGCCTGGGACACAGGTAACATACAAAGTTACCCCTGCATGGCCCCCTGGGAGTCTGACAACCAATCGGAATACAAGCTCAAATTCAAAGCCCAACAGAGGGTATAAATCTCTCTCTCTCTCACCCATGTATCTTTTTGCCCACACACACATACACAAAACAGAGATACTAGGACCCTAGAAAAAGTGCAGAGAACAACAACGATGATAAGGAGCCTGGAGGCTAAATCATATGATCAATGGCTGCGGCAACTAGACATGTCTAGTTTAACAAAGAGAAGGCTTAGGGAAGATCTCATAGCAGTCTTCCAATACTTGACGGGCTGCCACAGGGAAGAGGGCATCAATTTATTCTCCATAGCCACCTGACGGCAGGACAAGAAGCAATGGATGGAAGTTCATAAGAGGGAGATCCAACCTGGAAGTATGAATTTCCTAACAATGAGAACAATTAATCAAGGGAACAGCTTGCCTCCTGGAGTGGCAGTTGTTCTGTCGCTGGAGGTTTTCAAGAAAAAGACTGAACAGCCATTTTTTTTTAATTTCGTCAAGCATGAATTTTATGACAGATACAGGTGTAAACATAATTATAAATACATGAAAAGGATACAAATAAAACATTAGGACAGGGACGGTAGGCACGCTGGTACGCTTAAGCACACCCCTTAAAGACCTCTTAGGAATGGGGTGAGGTCAACAGTAGACAGCTTAAGGTTAAAGTTTTGGGGGTTTTGGGAAGAAACTACAGAGTCAGGTAGTGCATTCCAGGCGTTGACAACTCAGTTACTGAAGTCGTATTTTCTGCAGTCTAGTTTGGATCGGTTTACCATATCAGTGGTGAAATCCATTTTTTTTTACTACTGGTTCTGTGGGCGTGGTTTGGTGGACATGGTGTGGCTTGGTGGGCATGGCAGGGGAAAGATACTGCAAAATCTCCATTCCCACCCCTCTCCAGGGGAAGGATACTGCAAAATCCCCATTCCCTCCCCACTCCTGAGGGAAAGGTATTGCAAAATCTCTATTCCCACCCCACTCTGGGGCCAGCCAGAGGTGGTATTTGCCGGTTCTCCAAATTACTCAAAATTTCCACTACCAGTTCTCCGAACTGCTCAAAATTTCCGGTTCTCCCGAACCTGTCAGAACCTGCTAGATTTCACACCTGGTTTTTATCTATTGTGTGCTCTTGGATTGTTTTGGTTGAAGCTGAAGTATTCATTGGCTGGTAGGACATTGTAGCAGATGATTTTATGTACTATGCTTAGGTCAGATCGAAGACGGCTGTAGGAAGAAATATCCTTCTGGGTTCAGCTCCAAGTGGGGAAAAAGACACTGGAAACATGGAGACTGCTTGGAAAGAGGGTTTAATGGTGGACAGGATCACATGGCTTGAGTTTCTGAACAGAAAAAGGGTTGAGATACAGTGAGTCCCCGGGTTTTATGCTTTCTCTGGCTTTGAACTTCCTGGGGCCCAGAAAGAGTATCCTGATTGGTTGTCAGACTCCCAGGGGGTGGGGGTCTTAGCTAGCCTTGCTGGCTGATATAATCTTCCCAGATTCCATGTGGTGAGTTTCTGTTGCTATTATGTTGCAGATGGGTCCTATTGTCAAAAATTGAGTTTCTGGCCCATTAACAAAGGGGAGGGGGGAGGCAGGAAGGTGGGACTTGCTTTGTCTTTAAAACATGTTTCTCCATTTCTCAACCAGGAAAACATAATATTCTGCCTTTTTAATATTTCCTAAAATATTTCATTCTTCTAGGAAAGAGGTGGGTGCTAACATCCTACGCGGCAAAGTTCTAAGTTCTCTATGTTTGTCTGGGATGGTACTATAAGGACTTCTGCCTTGGGCAGGGGGTTAGATTAGAAGATCTCCAAGGACCCTTCCTTCCAGCCCTATGATTCTAAGAAACATGGCTTGATATGAGACAGGTACCCAAAAGAGCCCAAGAAATGTGGTATAAGAGGCAAAAACAAAACAAAACAAAACAAAACAAAACAAAAAAAGACCTAGAAGGTGCAAACTTACTTTGGGATTTATTGGCCCGTTTGCAGCCACAGTAAAGCTATTTGGGAAGCAAAGTCTCCCTTGCCTTCGGAAAGATTCTGATGATTCAGGGGGTGGGAGGTGGGGTGGTTGGTTTTGGGGGCCAGGCCGTCGGACAACCGCCCAGTTTTACCTGTTTCCTCTTCTAATTTGACAAGGAAACCCTCAATCACACCGTCCCCACTCCAGGTCTCCGACTTAAACCTTGCGGCATTGCATGACGGGAATTGTAGTCTCCTTTCCCCCGTTGGGTTTGAGCCCCTGAGGCAGGGCAAGGCGGCAGGGATTCCTCCTCCGCGGGAGAACGTCTCAGGTGGCGAGGACATGGGGGTCCCTGGGCTTGAGGGAGCCCCTTCGCCACCGAGGGCCACCGGGCCGCAGCCAGAGCGGGGAAGGCAGAGACTCCATTTCCCAGGCTGCAGAGGGAACCGAGCGCTAAGCCTTCCTCGCTGCAGGTTGAACTTCTGGATGAGCCAGAGAGAGAAAACCGTGAAGGGAGAAAGAGAAGGAAGGAAAGAAAGGGGTGGGGGGAGAAGGGAGGAAGGAGGAGGAGGAGGAGGAGGAGGAGGAGAAGCATCTCTGGGCAGGCGAATTATGCATGCACTAAGCGAGCTCTGAGAGAATGGCTGTGGAAGGTAAGGGCTGCGGTTCACCTGCCTTTTCCTTTTGCAAAAGCCAGAGGCGCCCCCCACCCCTCCCGCCTTCCTCGTCCTTTGCTCTCACCTGAGGGGGACAAACGCAGCCGAGTCGGCTGGCTAGGAAGGCGGGGAGGACGACGACAGGGGGGGGGGGGGGGCAGCAAGCAGATCAAAGGCTTCGGCGCCTTTGCCAAATGAGGGGTGGGGTGGCGCCGGCCATTAAACGGAGGCTTGGAGGGGCGCGGAGAGGTGAGCCGGCAGGAACCTGCTTCAGCCAGGGACAGGCAGGCTTCCCGCTTTTGGCTAGGCTTCTGCATAGCTCCACTGCAGCGCTCGCTCCCTCCCTCCCTCCCTCCCTCGACCTCGCTTTAAAAAAGAGCTTGCGGTTTTCTTCAACGGAGAGACCCATCCAAATCCTGCACACATAGACCCCCCCCCCCCGCCCCACACAACCACCCCGGTCCCTTCCGAGGCCGTTCATGGAATCCCACCGTGTCTTTTTTTATTTGCAGCTGTTAGTCAAAGGTGTAAGAGACTGAGCTTCTTGCCTGCCTGCCTGCAAACACTTTCTGGGCATCAGGTGAAGTCCGCAGGCATGAAGGCTACTCCGTGGCTACTCCATGGTCGAGGCTGCCCTTGAGGTTCACCTGCCAGAGGCATGGAAGGGAGGCCTGAGCACCAGCTTTTTGACAGCTCAGGTGTGGTGTGTTGGCCTGCTCCTGCTCCTTTGCAGGAAGTGGCTGCGCTCACAGATCACTCCCAAGGGCTTAAGCCTGTCTTACGAACGCCAGGAGCTCGGTGCCCATCACCACCAAACCACACTGTTGCCCCATTAACATGATGGGTGAACTCAGATCTTGATCTTCTCCCAGATGGCTGTAATCAGCCCTGGGTCATATACGGAGGTCCTTGTTTGTGAAATGGAACAAGGAAGTTCCCTTTGAACTTGAAATGGAACAGAAGTTTTCTGTGCTGGCTGAGTGTCCTGCAAAGAGGGCTGGAAACTTGTGAAAATGGGCTAAATAACTTATTTTTTTGGAGGGGGAGAAATATTAAGGACCCTTCCCAACCTTTCCAGATGTTTTTGTGTTGCAAATTATTGTGTTGGTCCATGAGAGATAGTAAGAGTGGTCTGAACCTTGCTAATCTTTTGAAGTCCAGAGAATTCTACAAGAATACCTTCAGCAGATAGAAGGTCCTCAAAGAAGAAAGATGGAATTAGGATGATAGAGAAACCCCACACACAGTTCCCATTTGAGTCACAATATAAGAAAGCTCAGCGGTTAAAGAAGGTGAGCTTGTCAGCTGGAGAGCTGACAGCCCGGGTTTGAGACCCGAGCTCCACGCAGTGGGGTGAGCTCCCGTTACATGCTCCAGCTCCTGTCCACTTAGCAGTTTGAAAGCATGCAAATGCAAGTAGATTAATAAGTACCACATTGGTGGGAAGGTAACACTGTTCTGTGCACCTTTGATGTACAGTATCGCCATGCTTGCCACATGACCATGGAAAATCTCTTCAGAAAACACTGGCTCCCTTGGCCAAGAAACAGAAATGAGCACCCTGCCATAGAGTCAGACACAATTTGGACAGAGAAGCTTTTACCTTTTTATAAGAAAAGAAGCTCCTTGAGGGAGATGGATGGTCTAGATCCAGAGGTGTCAAACTCAAGGCCCACGGGCTGGATGTGGCCCACAGGGTGCTTAAATCTGGCCTGCGGGGCCACCCTGGAAATAGCGAAGGACTGGCCCACAGTGCCTCTGCCAGTGAAAACAGAATTTAGGAGCGGTGCGCGGCCCTCTTAGGCTCTGTTTTTGCTGGCAGGGGACTCAGACCCAACCTGGCCACCACAGGTGCCCCTGACATGAGTGATGTCAAGCTGGCCACGTCCCCCCCAGCCCCCTCCCAAGATCAAACACAACCCTTACGTGGCCCTCAATGCAATCGAGTTTGACACCCCTGGTCTAGAACATGAAATAGAGTTGAATAAAATAAAACTGATCTTTCAGCACTGTAGTTTTTAGACATTGTGGTTTCCAGGGTTGGGGTTGCTTGATAAAATTAGTGTAATTTAGGCCTCCCCCCAGTAGCATCTCTTCTGCAGGGGAGGCTCAATAGCTAAATATATTGCCTGGCTGAGCATGAGAACCTATAAATCAGTGGAAAGCAGTAAACAGCGTTAACGCTCCTGTTGCAACTTATATTAATGCTTCTCTTCCCTCAGCATGATCTGCTGCTGAAATCCATGTAATTCTCTTTCTAGTAATTCTTGCCGCTTTCTCCCATTTTTAAATCTCATTTCTGTACTATTTACCCCCTCTAAAAATTAAATTCCAGGTTTTCTGGTATTGCTGATGTTCCTGGCAGAATCTAGTCTGCAGCTGATAACGGTAGTCTTTTGCCAATCCTTGTTTTGCTGTACTGTAAAAGAACAGTTTTGTTTTCTGCTTAAACTACCAACAAGCCAGGTGTGGAAGTTTTATTATGCTCTTCCCCCCCTTTTTTAAATGTTTGTTCATCTAATCAGACCACCTTAATTAGTATATTTTTCAATGATATGCCTGCATTGTGGAAGAAAAGGCAGGAAATCCATGCTACTGGCTATTCTTCATGGAATTAAGTCTTGAAATATTCTTCTTCCATTCCACTGAGAGTAAGATCATCTCAATTACTACCATAGTAGCAATGAGAGTCAGAAAAGTCACTGTCCCAGCATAGCATTTATTGATGCACTTAAGCATCTCCAGATAAGAAAGACTTTGTCTCCTACAAAACTTTCATTCTGCAAAATACAGTATCTGTCTGTCTCTCTGTCTATTGTCTGTCTGTCTGTCTGTCTGACTGACTGACTGACTGACTATCTATCTTCTATCTATCTATCTATCTATCTATCTATCTATCTATCTATCTAACATCTATCTATCTATCTATCATCTATGTATCTATCATCTATCAATGATCTATCATTTATCAATCATCTATTATCTATCTGTCTGTCCGTCCATCCATCCATTCCTATCTGCCTGACTGCCTACCTGTCTATCATCTATATCTATCTATCTATCTATCTATCTATCTATCTATCTATCTATCTATCTATCATCTTCTATCAATCATCTGTTATCTATCTGTCCGTCCATCCATCCATCCATCCATCCATCCATCCATCCATCCCTATATGCCTGCCTGCCTGCCTGCCTGCCTATTGTCTATCACCTGTTTATCATTTTTCCATCATCTATCTAGCTCTATCATCTATCTATCTATCTATCTATCTATCTATCTATCTATCTATTATCTATCTGTCCATCCATCCATCCACCCATCCATCCCATCCATCCCTATATGCCTGCCTGCCTGCCTGCCTGCCTGCCTATCGTCTATCATCTGTTTATCATTTTTCCATCATCTATCTATCTATCTATCTATCTATCTATCTATCTATCTACCTTCCTTCCTTCCTTCCTTCCTTCCTTCCTTCCTTCCTTCCATCTATCATCAATCAATCAATCAATCATCTATTATCTATCAGTCCATCTGTCCATCCGTCCATCCATCCCTATCTGCTTGCCTGCCTGCCTGCCTGCCTGTCTATCATCTATCTATCATATACTATCTATCATCTACCTACTTACCAACCATCCAATCAACCATAAAAATTTCACAGTGGAAAGAATACAAGAATATCAAACTCTAGCATTTTTTTTAAAAAAAACCTCTCACACTTTAAAAATGTTGTTCCATTTTTAAGCTCATCCAAAGGAATCTTTTAAAATCTTTTTAAAAATTTCATTTCGTGAACTATCATTCAACCATCTTACAATCTGCTTTTGAAATTCCCCTCTGTTTGGAAAGCAGCTTACCATGTGGCAGCGGGGGCTGCTGCCTGATAAATACAAGCCCCCAACGGCCTGGGACCCATATGTGCAGTGTGTTGGAGCCTTGCCTAGGAAAACAAACAACGGGAAGATTAAGCAGCCAGGACAGGAATATGATCAAAGCTGTGGCGTTTTGCAAAAACCAGGATAAAATTATAAACGTAAATGCATCTGCGGGATTCCCCCCTTTCCCTTTATCAATGGTTTTTGCAATAAGTTTTATATTTCCTGCGTCTCTTCTTCAAGATTGTTCTCAGCTTTGCGCTTGGAAGAAGAAAGAGACTGGGTTAGCCCTGGGATGGATCTCAAGAAGAGTCACCAACGTGTGGGACAGAAACTTTTTTTTTTTTTTAAATCAAAGTGATTTCTATCTCCAAAGAGTTCTGATATTTTATCTTTTCAGCAGAAGATGCTGCATTGGTAAAAATAGCAAGGGTGTGCATGGGTTTGTTCTGAATTGAAATGAAGGCTGGATATAACTTGATGTGCAACTTGCTTGCAAATAACATCTTCTCTATTCATGTGTAAAATTAATGAATTTTGGTTCCTGGGATTGTTCAGCTACATTTGGCCTAAATATGCAAGGCTGACAGTGAGCTGGAGATTGAGGGTGGAGTTTCCATACATACCTCAACCAGCCTATGCTCTAAGATTTCAGATTTTTCTGCGTTCATCTGAATGTGCATTATTGTTGTTAGTTGCGAAGTCGTGTCTGACCCATCGTGATGGACAATGGGTGTCCGACCCATGGACAATATTCCTCCAGGCCTTCCTGTCCTCTACCATCCTTTGAAGTCCATTTAAGCTCATACCGACTGCTTCAGTGACTCTATCCAGCAGGGGTGAAATCTAAAATTTGTTACTACCAGTTCTGTGGACATGGCTTGGTGGGGTAATGTGAGCCCCCCACCACCAAGGGGGTGGGCTGGGTGGATGTGGCCAATTTTTTTTTTTACTTTTAAAACCATTTTTTCTACAACCTCTTCGGCGAAGAGGTTGTAAAAAAATGCTTTCAAAAGGCTCTGACGATCCCAGCTGAGTTGCCTGACCGTTAGAGGCATTTAAAAGAAAAAAAGTCTCTGCCGATCAGGCAACTCAGCTTGGATCGTCAGAGGCATTTA